CTTTGACTTTGACTTTGACTATGGGTAGCTAGGTCATACGTCTGTCAGGTGTGTTGCCTAAAAATAACAATAACTAAGTCTATTACAATAAGCTTAAAAAATATGATTGGTAGAACACAAAGAAAGGTGGTGTAGTACATTTAATTTTGGTACATTTATAAAGTTACCAGTTACACTGGTTTTTCCTAACTAAACGAACTATTTTACAATACAGCTTCTGCGTAGTCGAATAAGAAAAATTCATGATACTGACCCATTAGGCCTTTCAGGATATTTCTATGAAGGTATATTTGAGATTTATAAATGAGAAATGGGTACAAATGTTTATTAACAAAGAGCAAACCCTAGAGTTTCTTTCTCATTCTTCGCAGGAGAATGTGCCTTACGACTGAGTGGTGTTTGATTAATATGACGATAACAAGTTTTTTTTTAAATAATAACGCTCACACTCAACGTAGCCCCGCACTAGGAAAACCCTGTGTCGCGGGTACCGTGGACACACACATAGACAATCACAAATTACGTCCAAAACACGAGAGAAATAAATGTAGGCCTAACAAATATTTCTCCCGCCCCGGGAATCGAACCTGGGACCTCTGCGTGGCAGTCCGGCATGGTAACCGTTCAGCCAGAGAGTCAGTTAGAAGTATAATTGTCTCGCCTATGAAATAAAGATATCGTCGCCCTAGACTGAATACCTAGTATGTTATTTTTATGTAATTTTTCAAGACGAAATAACAGATGTAGTGTAAAATGTAGTAAACGCAACAATGTTTGTAGTTAGCATTTTAATTAGTTAAATTATACCTCTTTCAGATACCATATTACTTTAATAATATATTTCAGCAAGAAGCTTATAAGCTTTTCTTCAACAAAAATCAGTACAAAGAACTATGTCAAACCGCGTATGCCAAGTTTTCACGACGATTTGGGATTGAATTTGGCGTTAACAACATAATAAATCAGTATTTTAACAAACAACATTAACATTTTATAGTGTCTAGAAACATAACCTAAATTTAGCAAGAACACAAGATAACGTAATGTTAATCTAAACCAGGACCGAACTAAAGTGCACTGCCGCCGTGGACTGTTTGTGGCCCCGATATTTTTATATAAAAAAATCTTGTATTTTGAATGGTGGGAAATGGTCTTATATTCGGATATTATCCAGTCATTAATTACATTTAAATTAGTTATGCTCTCCATATTTTTCTATTAATTTTTTATATTAAATTTGTGTATAAAACATGTGGTGTGTATTTATAACATAAACTGCTCAATATCAAACGTATTTTAACCATTCTTTTTATCAAAAATTTACAAACAATTCCAATGCATGTATTAAATTATGATTTAATATAGTTAATTTATAATTCGTTCAACAAAAACAATAACCTGATTTGCGGCCCCCTTGTTTTACCACTGTGGACTCCATTCCCCCAGGTTCTAACACGGATCCGGCACTGATCTTAGCGTTAAAATGTATACAATGATGTTAGCCCGCTCCGTCAAGCGGAACGGGACAATCAACGAAATTAAATTCCAGCCCCTCGGAGGAGAACTGGACCGTGTACCTAGCAGCTTCGCGTATTATTAAGCTATTGTATTGACATGGTCGTATGGTACAAATTATTTCGCATATGGCCCCCCAATATCTTGATACCACCAATGAAAATTACCCTAACTTAATTGAACGAGTTCTAGTAAGTTACTGCCGCAATACTGAGATAACAAGCTTTATGATTTTAGAAGCAGTAGAGCTCCTTGTGAATGAGTACGTCCAGGGAAGTACTGCCACCTTACCTATTTCTGCCGCCAAGCAGTAATGTCAGCATTACTGTGTTCCGGTTTTGAAGAGTAAAGGTGCAGGTGAAATTATAGACACTTGGAACTTGTCAAATAATGTCTCAGCACTTATGTCACCGCTCCTCAGATCTTTGTGATTTAAAACTCTGAGATTACAATTAAAATTAGAATAGAGATGCACAGTAGATAGTTTAGTATGGTCTGTGTTGCGTCATGTCAACATGGAACTTATCTTTTTTTATATATTAATTGACGGTACGTACAAGTCGTGCACCTGATGGCTAAAGAAGGTTTACAATAGTTGAATTGAACTCAGTTATAGACTATACCCTAGACCCATACTCAGCAGTGGTATAATGGGACAAATCGGTACCTCCAATGACTACTACGCCAACTTAATTTTTAGACCTTTTCTGTTTTTATTTTGTTTTTTGTTTCTTCATATTTTTTTTTTGTTTTTTTTCGAAATAGTTTTTTGTCTCTTTTTTTCACAAAATTCTGGGAGCATAATATTAGTAAATAAATATGGCTGTTTATAAAAATAACAGAAAATTACCAAAAAATAAAGGTATCGAAATATTGCAGCATTAGTATGTCGACCCGTACTTTACCAATTTGTAACTCCAGCTGTTTATGAATAACCAGCATACTAAAGCCGCCGAAATCTTCTCATATAAGTTTCCATTGACTGATACCAATAATGTCACTTAAGCACGAATTGTTGTTTACATTTGTGCGCGCGCGCTGGCGGTTAATGTTCTTTTAAGTATATTTCGAATGTTTGCCTTGCACTGCAGGATGCAACTTGGGTAGATTGTACCTTATATGGATATGTACAATATTAAAAAAGCTGAAAGTTAAACTCGAATTCAAAATACGGGGTTAATTTTAAAACACTAACAATCTTGCGTCAACAACGACTTTTTTTACATGCTTTACAAATCATAACCAAATATATTAATATAAGTAATTAGAGACGCCACGAATATTCGGCTACTATTCGGTGTTCGGCCTATTCGGCTACTTTTTTAAATATTCGGTATAACACTCCGCATGATGTGCTTGAAGTACTGCAGCTGCCTCTTTTTTACTGTTTTCAGGAACTCCAAGCCTTTGTGCATCCTCCGCAATACGTTGTCATTGGTGACTCTTTGCGTCCAGGATATTTTCAAAATTCTTCGATAAACCCACATTTCGAAGGCTTCTATACATTTACATAATGTCTGAGTTAGTGTCCATGCTTCTACTCCGTACAAAAGAATTGAAACTATAGCACCGCACTAAACGGCATCTTGTCGATAATTTCAAACTACGATTGCAAAGGAGGTGACTCATTTTTATAAAAGCACTCCTGTCTTGCACTATGCGACATCTAACTGCTATGCTGTGGTCTTCCTGGTCGTTTACCATACAGCCAAGGTATTTAAAAGAACGGATCCTGTCAAGTGGTTGGCTACTAGCGTTGAGGACAGCAAACGTCTGCGGAGCACGGCCGACAATCACATACTTAGTCTTTTTCACGTTAATATTCAGACCGTTCTGTGCGCTGATCGAGTCTGGAGAAGTTGCTGTAGATCTTCCTACAGTAGGAGCTGGCAAGGAGAATCGTGTCATCGACATATTGGATGTTATTGATGCGAGTCACGTTTGCAACAATCCCTTCAGTTGCGTCTTCAAGAGCTTCTGAAAAAATCTAATCTGCGTAAACGTTGAAAAGCAACGGAGATAATATACATCCTTGCCTCACTTCTCGTAGTATCTCCACATCATCTGTGTGTTCTTACTGGACGCGTATATATTATCTATTGCTAGTAAAGATTTTTAATCACTATGATGTCTTTAGAATCTAGGCCTATTCTTTATACCATACCCAGCCGTGGAACGTGTAAATAGTCTGATAATAGAATGAAATAAATCAAACATCTAAAAAACTCACGATTACCAGTCTCAAAAATGCAGATACCGTATTAAACCGGGAGCTATGTATATACAAGCCTCATATGCTACTACAAGACCATCACTGCTCTAAACACCCTGTATATTTGCTTATACACGGAATACAAACAAAACAAAAACCAAACGATTAAAATAAAATAAACAACAATAAGCATTCGAAGAAAAGTCACGTACGGTCAAACATTTCGAATATTGACTTTTGATATTCCCGACGACCGCACTTAAGCACGCAATGTTGTCTCGTTGACGGCGATAATTTATTTTTAAATGTTTTAAATAAGTTTCTTCTAGATGGACACTAATATACACTGTAACATCTGTGGAAGAATAACTGGTAATCTGTTTATAAAAAAAAAGCAAAACACCCACCATTTGCAAATTCTGCAAATGTGTTGTGAAGCTACATTTATTCGTACAAGAAATAAATTATCGTTGTATCCACACGCTAAGTGAGGCAAATTGAAGCGCGCCCAATGGGCCTACACGAGCGGGCGGGCCTTCAGTGCTCAACGTCAACTTACACCGCGAACAGCTCAAGAATTTTAGCTAAAAATGACGAAATGTGTGGTAAATGAGTGTAAAAATACGTCAGACAAACATAAAATAGATACTAACATCACATTCCACAAGGAAGTAACGCGTTTCAACTTGTATTTTTATATAAATATTCACTAAAACCGAAAATTAACCTATTACTAAAACTAGCCCACATGAATTTGATTTTTGCCTCACTTGTGACAGTTCGTTTGATATAAAACCATCATTCTATGCGTTATTATTCTAAGGTTGTATCTATTTCCTCGCAAAAACATAGTACCTACGTAACACGGGCGGTAAAAATTACAAACCTAGAGTCATGTAAGCCCTCACCATTCGGCTTCGGGCTTCTAACCAAACTCTCGTTAGTAATTACTTATGTACTACCATTAATGCACAATGTACTATTTTTATACAATATCACAAAAGCGCTCATTTTAGTTCTGAGCCAAAATTGTATTATCTATGGTACTCGCTATTGTACTGAAAAATGTCAACTGTAATCAATTCTAAAAAAGAACGTCGTATTTTTGCTAATTAAAAGTGTCTCCTTAAAAGCGTCACTGTGCAGAATAAAGGCACTATATTTGTGAAATTATTAAAATTCTTGTTATTTTATTAAATAATATCTCAAAATATTACAAAACAGACACAAAGGTGTAAACATTTGGCAAAAAAAATAACTATTTAAAAACAATATAAAATATGAAATATGACGCTACTCGAACGCTCTACCTACTAGCTCCTGATTGGTTAAAAATTTAAACGGTACTTGGTTAATCACGATACTTCTACTCCATCTCTTTGGTTTTTTGTTTCGTTTGAGTTTTTAAGTAGTCGTGGATTGTTAACAATGTAATGTTTAAATATTGATTGTGTTTCATTATTTTAATTTAGTCGTAGAAAAAATATTGTATGCAATAATTACATAGTTACGTCTTAAAATAGTACTCGGCAAAGGCTCGTGGCCTCAATGCGGTACTCGAATTTAATAGCGGTTACACAGGCGACGTTTAACAGCGATGCATATGCGATGCAGTCCATAATCTTCTACGTTTACACTCGCGCAATTTTAAGCAGCGAAGCAAACGCGATGCAAGCGCGCGACTGCTTCGATACAAACGCGCGATTACATCGCTACACTTGGGATTTATGGGCGTTTGTATCGATGCAGTGCGATTCACAAGAATTATGCAACGATTACAAAATACTAGTTTATGTGACTGTTACACAATGAAAGGCATTAAAATACGAGTGAGGATTTATGAAACGAGCCGAATAATGCCTAATTTTGTACAGTTACATACACTGCTTTATCTACACACGTATTATAAGCTCTCTGTGATGTGTTCAGGAACCGCATGTTACTGGCGAAATGGCGGCAAATAAAAACTTTTCTCACGCATGTCAAACCGTAGTTTTTATTTTTAATTCATAGACAAACTAGAATCGGCCCCAACTATCATATCGTTCGATATCAGGTATCAAGTAACGTGTGAAATTATCAATAGTGTTTGCTATCGACAAAACTTCGTCTCGACTGATATTAGTATTAATTTTTTTTTGTTTTTCAGAGATGTTCGAAATTTGAATGTAATAATAAAGCAATTTATCTTTACGCTGGCCGTAATTTGCGGTTTTTGAACACATTGTAAGAGAGTTTATGATATCTGTGTAGATAAAATACTTTATTGTTAAGTCACGTAATATCAAGTTACGGGACGAACAAGTCGTGCGCCTGATGGTAAGCTACGCGCCTGTCCGTGACAGTTACAGTGCCTCAATGACAATGCTTTTTAATTAGACATCGAAATTATAGGCACTGATGCTAATGAAGAGTTGGCTGTATGATAGTTTTTTTAGTCTGTTTACGTAGCTCTTTGTTAGATTATTATTATTTATTTGTTGAGTATTGGCTATAGAGCCATCAGCTTAAACAAGCAACAAAGGATTAAGAAACTTAAAACGTAATAATACTTAAAATTAAAAACTAATTTGTGAAATTACTGTAACTACAAAAACCCGCCATTTTTTTCCTCTTGCTCTTTGTTAGTAGATATAGTATTTATGTGGTCTGTGGTGGACACATTTAAAAGTTTAGAGCAGCGGATAAAAATGGATTTACATACGTATTTTGTACATACGGCCAAAGGGTTGCACGCTATAAATGACAAACTTTGTGAACTCCTTTTTTAAAAGTAATGCAAACATTTCCGAGCATGTATGACATTTTCTTTTTTACCAACCCAATATAGCAGGCAGTATACAGCATTTCCCTAACCACTTACAATAGATAAATTCCTATCTAACAAATTAAACCTAACAATCAGCAAAATGCACAAATATGTCCAATCAGAGCTAAAGAGGGCTACAATGAATTATTACGAAGCCAATATACTAATGCCGTCAAAGCTTATCCCATAAAAATGATAATTGATAGTGCTGGATGGAAATAACTAGTATCTGTAACAATTACATATTTAATTAATATGATAATAGAACAGAATAGTTAAATACACAATAACAATAATAATAAAGTATTTATTTCCATAGCGTTATTTAGCTTGATAATAAAATAAAAAAGAATATCCTGGCGTGGAGCTGCACCCATTGCTGTAGTAACATTGGGGAAACCCACCGGTCTGTGAAAACCCTCAGGAGTCCATTGGTGCAACCGTGGAGGCGGGCTAGCATGGAGGCGCAGCGTCTTCTCATTATTAACACTCAAGCACTGCAATCCACGATAGCCCCACCAGAGCCCTGAATGCGTTTTATACTGGACCATCAGGTCACTGTATTAGTAATGCAACGGAAGTGTCATAACGGTAACAGATGTCAGAAGTAAATCTTTGCAGAAACGGAAAGGGATGCGGAAGTCGAAGTGTAAATACTATAAAAACCTCAACGGAATAGTTCCAAACAGAGCTTGTGTTTGGTTTCGTAATTGCACTTAACACAACACAAAACTGTTAAGATACGCACACCCCACTGCCAAGCAATACGCGCACGCGCCTGGTCCATCGCGAATGTTATTAATTTGCGAAAAAAGTTTCGTTATAAAAGTTACGGAAACAGATGTAAAAAGGCGTGCGGAACTTCCGATGTACCGGCTGCAAAATCCCCAAAAGGCTGCGGGTATAGAATACCAATGTTACAAATTAAAAAATCTGTATCAAGCATAATATGATTATCATCATCAACCCATTTATGCATTCCACTGATGAGCACGGGTCTCGTGCACTTGAGGGACTTCAGACTTTTCCGAGAATTGTGAATGTTTTTCGACTTGCAGATTTCATCACGAAATTTTCCTTCACCGAAAAAGATCATGGTGAATTTCGTACATAAATTCCCGAGCGATGCGAGACCGGATTCAAACCTACGATCTTGACTTAAGAGGCAGTCGGTCAACCCAATATACTACCACTGCTTACCACGGCTTGTAATATAATCGTCATGTAATAAAATAATAATAGTTAATAAGAAACAAAATAGTGACAAAGTACAAGGATGTACGATTAATAATGTTCTCTGCACTGTAAAATACCTTTTTCTTATTATTATTTTTTTATAACATCAAGTGACGGGACGAACAAGTCATGCGCCTGACGGTAAGCTACACGCCTGTCTATAACAGTTACAGTGCCAATTAGAGGTATAAATAGTAAAGATCTGAGTCACCCTGAGACAAAAGTTGACAAGTCCTATGTGTCCGTAATTTCGCCAGCACCATTATTGCTTGGCGGCAGAAATAAGTATGGTGGCAGTATTACATTGGACAAAAATAGTGTTAAAGTACGATATCCAACAATGTAGATTTAATTATAAAGTGTAAAATACCTACTTTATTTTTTTTATTGTACTTCACTATTTCAAATAAAACAAATCGTTTTGGTCGTTTATTACCCGACTCAAAAGGATATTGTCTTTCATATTCTTAAATTACGGCGCTTATTATTATATTCAGTGTTCATGCTCTCTCAGCAGTACAAATAGTTTAAAAACCATATTAAGGCGTTTAATATTTAAAAAAGCACGAACAGTAACAATGTTAAAAATTTAATCACTCGTCGCCGCTACTAGTTTACGTTGTATTCATTATAAAAATGCCTAGTACTGGATTACCTTGCGTTAACAGTATTATCTACATAGTTCCAACCTATAAAATATCTAATGCTTTTTGTCGCTGCTCCACGGGACTACATCACTACCCCAAATAATCCTATAAAAATGATAATTATCAATTAGGCAATGACGACATTTGGCACTGTTTGCATAAACGATAAATGTTTAGATAAATACGGATCAACACTAGCGCACAGCTGTCAAGTTTTACCGCCAAAATGACATCGCCATTTTGTGGGGACGTTTAAGCGGGAAAATATTCAAATATTTTTTGGCATTGTTATGATGTTCCTAATTACTTACAACTACTTTGTTATACATATTTAAAAAATGTAAAGCATTAATCAGATGGGGTAAGAGGGACATACTTTATTTTGAGACAAATGTTATGAGCTCTACGAAGGACAGATAAAGATTTTTATGAATTTTGAAGTACGCTTAACTTCGTTTTCACCTCCTAGCTCGGAAAGGCTTTCTTTCTCATTAGAAGTCTGCGCGCAAAAGCATTTTTTACACGCTAGCGTGGAAAAGGTTTTTGAAAATGGAACTTGGCGATGGAATGGCATGTAATTTTTTCTTTCGATGGAAAAAAAAGATAATGACACGTTCAACTACGCGATTTGTTGTACATTACCTATTTATATAATATAAATCCGTTGGTATATTTTATTCTTATTATTTTTGACATTAAATTAATAATGACAACTAATCGTGTTTATTAAATTATTTTGATTCGTGTGTAAATTCAGAACGCATCCGAAGATAAACTTTTTCTTTTAATTAAAAAAGTGATGATCAACTGTTTTTCTTTCATCTACCATTTTCCTCGCTTTAGTGAGGGGTGAAAAGTTGTGTCAGCATGTTGCTCAGCACCAAAGTTGTTTTGCGTCATCATTTACGTTAAACAACAACTTTACAGCCTTGCATAACAAATAATCCTTGTTTATCAGTTTTCCATGTTTTAACAATTATTACCTACGTTAAATTTTTGCCGATTTGGAGCATCGTAGCGACATCTCTTTAAAATCGTCTAAACTATTTCTTTTTGCTAAAGGTCATTGGGCGCTTTTGTACGGAACATTTACCTGTACGTACACAAACGAAATAGGGTGCAATAAACACATAAATAACTATACTTTACAATGCTAGCGGTCACATACAGAGATTATTATACCATATTAATGCTAAAATAAGTTATAATGAAGCTAAAAATACGTTACAATTGAGTACATAGCCATTTCATATCGTTTTTCAGCAATAAAAAAGTAGCGGAGTTAGATTTTACAGACTTTATTATAAATAAATGCTAAAGCATAGCCATGGAAAGATGACCAAGATGGATATGATTTTTATATGCAAAAAATAATGAAAAATGTCCAAAACTTTTTAAGTTTAGGCAGCTTTCTCTTTTTACACCAATCGATAAAAAAAATGTAAGATATACAAAAAAAAATGTATAATGTACGTAAAATTTTAAAGTACAAAGCTGGTAAATTTTGACCAATAGTCTTTATAGACTGCGAGAGTATAGTGCTAAACTATTTAGGTTATGAATAAAGCTTCAATTCTTTCCCTGGTATTCCTTTTACCCCATCTGGCTTTCATAATTATGTAAACTAATTTCCTACTTGCATTTGTCGGTCTTCTGTTCGTTAACATTGAGCGAAGATTCACAAATAACCGCCATTTTGAATTTTTTGTAATTTTTTTAAACTGTTATAGCATGGTAGTGCCCACAAGCCAAGTCCAAATTATTTAATTATTAACATTTTTTGTCTACAGGAGCACCGCACACTCTTCTTGGCAAAACTCGCCGCCCGCGAACCGCCTTCACGTCTCAACAGCTGCTGGAGCTGGAGAAGCAGTTCCGACTGAACAAATACCTTTCAAGACCTAAAAGATTTGAGGTGGCTACCAGTTTGATGCTGACTGAAACACAGGTATGTTCCCAGTCCTGAAATACAGTTTTTATGTGGCTCTTACTCAGTATATAGGAAAAGTTTTTAATAAATCTTCAAACAGTAAGTAAATAGGACATTTAATGGGCAAGCAAACAGATTGCTCTTATTCTGAATTAAAAAAAAAAGAGTCAGTTATATTTATAACCAATCACCACACAAAATCTCTACGTAGGTACAACCGTAAAACACGATTTTCATATATCAAACTACCCCTCTTTATACGAACACAAATATATACCAAAAACGAGGGGAGGCTTTTTTATCACCGAAGAAGACACTAACACCGTCCCTTTAGTTACATCTGACAAGTGTGAAGGATGTACGGATTTCAGAGGGTAGATTGAGATTGAAAATAAGGTTATAGGAGGAAGGAATTTGGACCAGAATTTTACTTTTCAATGCGAAAAGAAACTTCTGAAAAAAGTATTCCTTTAGTGCAACGATAAAACAAACCTATATTCTCAATGCATACTTCGTTTAGCCGCTGTCCTTACCAGTTTTCAGAATCTGCAAAATATCAAATACTTAGTCCCAAAACAGTTTTATTTACAAGCAGAGGTTGTAGCTAGTCTCATCACTTATTTTATTGACCTTTTTATGTGAAAATGTTTTGTTTACAATAAGAAATTAATATAGCCTTTAAACGTCATTGATTAGCAAAAAAGGACCTTTAAGATGGCAACGCGTCAACTTAGTTGATAGTAACGCAAGCTAGATCCTCTAAGTGCACTCAGTCCCTCATGATCCTTACAAATGGAGGGAGCCGACACGGTCCCATAAATGTTATGACATCCTGTCCCTACTTTGTGTCTACTTGAATAAAACAGATTTGAATATGTCACACATATTTTCCCATGTAGACAACGACCAGGGTATAAATCCCAGAGTCTCCCGGTTATACATTTTAAAACCAAAAGTCTTCTTTCTCCACAGGTGAAAATTTGGTTTCAAAACCGAAGAATGAAGTGGAAACGATCAAAAAAAGCCCAACAGGACAACAAAAAAGACCACCATCTGGCCGACGAGAAGAAAACCAATAAAGAACAACCCGACAACGATAAAGCACCTACGCAAATGGCGGCAGATTTGACAGCTGTCAAACCACCCATGCTGGATAGGGACAGAATTATTGCGCTAGAGAGAGAAAGAGCCATGGCGGCGGCAAATTTTAATTCGAATCATGAAAATAGACGAATGGGTTTGAATCAAGATGGCCGACCGATGGATATGTTTAGACCGTATGTAGTATGAAAATAAGACATTTTTGTTGTTTTTATAGACATCCCGTGTCGATACTATTTGATAAAATCTTAAATATTGAATATTAAGTTCAATGTTTACAATTTGCAGTGCAAATACAAAGGTATATTTCTTGAATTCCATATGAGTAAAATCGATTGATCCATCATCATTATTTCAGTGAAAAGACGTCCGCTGGTGGACATATTTCTCTACCAAGGATTGCCAGAACGACCGGTCTTGCGCTTCTTCTCCTCATTCAACTTATTGCTATGTTTATGTTATTAAACATATAAATAACACTACCTATGTGTTTGTACAGTATTATATAAGAAAATACGAGTAAAATTAGAAAATAATATAATAATTAGAGATTGGAACTGGCGAGTAAGACCTAAATTTCAAACAACACACATAGAGTGGTTAATATCTAATGATTAAAAATTAAAGGCAATAATAATATTATATTTTTACAAATTACAAAACTTTTCTTCTAAATACATAACCGTCGACTGCAATTGCTGGTTGCCCATCAAACATAAAGGGTGATTTGTAAAATTAGTAACCTCTCAGGACTCTATTACTAACATCATAAACAAATATTAGACAATATCACGTCATGCGTTGTTGCTCTGCTCCCAAAATAAGTAGCTAAAGCACTTGTGTTGTGGAAATCGGAAACATCGACAGTATTACAAACACCCAGACCCGAGACAATATAGAAAAGTTAGTTTTCTACACTGACCCGGCCGGGGATCCAACCCGGGACCTCAGAGATAGTGCCACCATAAAAACCGATGTGTAAGCCAATCGACCACGGAGGTTGTTATCATCATATATCAACAACTTTTATTCTATGATTTTACAAAACATAATTTTTGCTGTACTATAGGACACTTTTTAGATCAACATTTGGTAGGCAAGTAGTACGTTCAAATGTGCAAACATCCTTCCCGACGACCCCTACACCTTCTCCTGCGTTTTGCATCGGACTGTTATTTACGCTAGCGCTTTCCTTTATTACCGCACAGAGTTACCACAGCTTAAAGCAATCTCCTTAAATATTTTTATTTTTGCACGAAAGCAAAATCTGACGCATTAAAATTCATGGAGCAAAATGTGTTGTTTATGATGTTAGTAACATAGTCTTAGGATTTCTTAAGGAGGTATTATCGACTCTATGTATATACCCTACCTTTTCCGATCTCTGATGTATAATATATAAATAATAAGCACTTATTCCTTATTTTGTAATGTTATGTAAAGAAAGTCACACACTAAGAAATATGACTGTCAAAATATCCCACTGCAAAGGCTGATAAGTTAGTTTTGACAATTAAATATATGATATGGCATCAGTAGTGTCGAGCGTGTATACAATGTTTTTATTTACCTTTGATGCGCCTAAAGGATGATGATGACAGACGCGACACGTTGTAATGTGAATCACTTCATAAAAATTGTACGCAGCATTTCCAATCCGAGTCTCGTACGTGTCTCGGCTCGTGCCCAGCACGGTTTAATGTGAATAGTTCTTTACCTGAAGCTATACAATGTGTCAAAATGCTTTAATAGAAATTATACCTTACGTTACTTACATAATGTTGCAATTTCCAGTCTATAAATTGACACTTTGCCTTGCCTTAAGAGTCTGTACTACCTCAACTCGTTGAATTCGAGCTGAGGTAGTATATTGGTCAATTACTATTCACAGATAAGTTCTTAAAATGGTAGATTAATTTAAAAGCTAGTAACACATACGGTTCTGCGAATTAAATTGTTCTATACAATATAGATACAATTTATTTGGAAGGCATAGGCGTACCTCAAGGTTCAATTCTAGGCCATTTTTGTTTTTAGTTTATAGTAATGACTTACTTAGCCTCGTGGAAGGCATAGAACATGTGGAATGTTCGTACAACGACGTGAACAATGCTATATCTAAAGTAGTAGATTGGTTTGCAAAATTTTTTACTAATACGATTCATTTTTTGACACTGGCTTTATTTCAGAATATATTTTTTACAAACGAAATTAGAGCTATTTGAAAAATGTATATCATATGGTATACGTGTTCTATTTATTTCAGTTGATATAAAAAAAACATCATTGGTCATTCATCATTCAAACAACATCAAAGTACCGATTGAATACAACGGTTTTCGCGCAACACGCGCCGGCGCCAGTTTCACGCGGTCCATCCTGCGCTATTATGCCGGATTCACGAATCTTTTACTTGCGTTTTTCGCTTGCTTGCGTTGGCTGGGTACACGGCGTAGAAATCTTCCACTCAAAGGCGTTCACGAGTCTTCCGTTTTGCGTTGCGGGGAGATTTGCGCGCATGCGCGGCGCCTTGCCTTTGTTTTGGTTGTATTGGACGCGTGGGCGCTGCTACTCTGTGATTGGCCAATGGTACTGTCCTCCGCAAACATTCCCTGTTGCTTGCGTGGAAATATCAAGCTTTTCTTTATATAAAATATAAGTGCGCATTTGACCTCCATCTCACCTGATGGAAAGTGACGATGAGGTCGACGATGGAGCATGCACACCTAAATGCACTCTCGCCTTGAAAATATCCAAGTTATAACGTTCAGGGAACAAGTCTGCAGGCAGGGAATTCCATAGCCGTTCGCCAAATAAATGTGGATGCGTAACGCTTCGTGCGAATCTTTGGAATATCCACAACATAGAGTTGGAACTAGTGTTGTTAAAAAACCGTTTCTTTTTCTGAGATGAAAAAAAAAACAATGAAAATAAAACATGAAAAGAAACCGTTTTTTTTCTAAAAATATGAAAACAAATATATGACAATATGACAAATGTATTTTTTTACTACATTTCCTCTCTTGTTGTTAATATTATTCTTCATAGATAAATTGCTCAAAATAAATAGGCAACGCTCATAGTGTTGTCCATTTGTGGCGAATTCCCCAAATTGCAGGGAATTTCAACTCGATTGGGCATTTTGTGAGATTGACGCTATGCAGGGGTTTTTTTTTAAATCTGTCGATTGCTGTTGCATCGCTACTTTGATAATTACTGATAAAAACACTATTTATTTATTTTTTATCTAAGAGCGATATCATTATTTTTTCCACATCGCACATATCCTTTATATAGGAACATTTACATACAATTATGAGCAAGCCGCTTATATAAAATTATTCGGTAGGATTTGAATGAAAGAAACGAAGACAGAAAACTTTGATGACATTACAAGTGTGGGTAACACTTGTAACAGTAGTAACACTAGTAACACCACTAAAGAAGATTAAATTTTTGTTATAATTATCATGGTAATTGATTTTATATATGTATATATATAAGCGTAAAACAAACGTTAGTGTTTTATTTTTTTCAGTTATTCCATTTTACTTTTTCTGAAAAAGAACCAAATTTAGCAAAAAAAACCAGGGCGCTGTGCTTTTTTTACATGTTCTTTTTCTAAAATGTGAAAAAATACATTTGGTTTTTTTTCAATTTACAACACTAGGTGGAACCCAAGCCCACGCCTAGTCCCCCGTGATGGAAAGGGGGAGGCGGAATTGAATCGTGTAATTCCATCGCACAGCGTGCTAGATATCAAACTCATGCAATGCAAAGCAATCGGCCAGCGGAAGCGAGCGACTCGTGAACAGTCCTGCCTGCGCGTACGCGACAGATCGTTGCGTATGCGCTATCCTATATGCTCCGATCACGTGCGATAGAGTGACTAGGTAGAAGGGGCTAATATTTAATAAACTAACTTGTCAACCTTATGCACCAGGATTAAAAACTGACCCTATAGTATTTTAAGTATGACGAAATATGATTTAAGCTAAATAAAAATCTAAGAACTGATGCAGGCCAAAAATAATATATAGCAATTTAGTTTTAAGGAAGCACAAGTACCCTGAAATACTTATATGTGGAAGATTACGCACTTTGTGTTAAGACAGCGTGTATGAAATGATAAGTGTATTTTGTAAAGTTTTAACTTGGCGTGGTTACTACCATGCCTCCATATGTTTAAATGATTATTTTTGTGTTGTACCGTTGTTGTGTTGTGCCGTCCTTTAAATGGAGTAAACTGTATAGTTTTGAAACCTAGTTCACAAGTGTATTTCTTTGTTTATGCTACCAAGTGAAAGAACGAACTTAGAGACTCGTCTGTCTATAGCAAAGATCTGAGAGGCCATTGCACCCGTCAGCCCTGTGATATAAATTGACAAGTACCTACCGCGTGCCTGTAATTTCACGAGCACCCTAACCTTTGTAATTCCATTAGATTCTACATACATTCTATTGTAATTACTGTAATGTTGATTATTCTGCTAAAATCTAGTTGCAATGGCAGTTAAGTCTCAATACCAGTGTCAGTAGCATGGCATTCATTCAGTCACTTACAATCGATGTTGTCTTTTTAGAACTACCATGGAAATTACAATGCATACTCTAATTTTTTTCTTGTTAGCATTATTCATCTAAAAATTGTGGTTTCCAGCCTAGTTTATCAGTCGCAGGACAAGGACTTGAGCGGGGAAAACTGGGACAGTGAAACTGAAATTAAAACCCCCATTGAAGTTGCCAGGAGTGAGTTTAATACTATAAGGAAAGTGTTATGCTGCCATTGTCTTCAGATTCCTTGGCGCACTCGAGTTCTTCAGTGTTACATCTGGCTAATACTTCTATACGGGATGTGAGGCAAGAGCATCTCAGGAAACGTATTGAAGCATTTTAAATGTGGGCCTAGAGAAGAATGTTGCACTTATCATGGAATCAGAAAGTTATAATGACGAAGTTCTGCAACTAGTTGGACAGAAGCGTAAACTTTTGCAGGCCGTCAAACAGAGAAAAGTTGCATATCTGGGTCATGTACTTAGATACGAGATTCTGCAACTGACAATGATGGGAGAAGTCGCTGGTAAAAGAAAAGCTGATCGTAGCCAGACTGGAAAAACTGGGATAGCGAGTGCCGCCCAACTGTTCAGCCTCGCTAGGAATAAAGATTAATATGCTGAGCTGACTGCCAAACTTCACTAATTGGAGAGGCACGTTAAGAAGAATATATCAGCAATTTAGACTACGTCATCGAAGAGCAGAATACCAAAGAATTGCAATGGTAGTTCAATGCCAGCTCGGTATGGACTCTCGATATAGCAGCATACTATCAAACGTACAAAATCCTGCGACACTACACA